GGTCTCTATTATGATTTGTTAAGAAACAGAATTATAAGAAAAGGAGAGGAAGAAGAAATAAAGAGTGCGTGGAAAACATAGAAAGACACAGAGAAAAAGAAAATTAGACACAGTCAGAAAGAGAGGAAAATAGAGATAGAGCAAGAGACCAAAAGAGAAGTGTGATATCAAAAGACAGAACTTGAGATAGTGACCTACCTCCTCTAGACACATCCTCGAGAGAGAAACCACAGGCTCAGACATGGAAAATAAAGAGCTGTCAGGAAAACATGAGCAACATATACCAAGTGAGAATAAGACAGAAGCCACAAAGACATCATGCTATGAATACCCTAAGAGTAATAGAGACATACACACGTAAATGCATACACCAAAAAGAGGGTTATCTCTATCCTGTGGCCTTGAAGATACTGTGATGTTGTGCATTTTCACAACTATAGGCAAAAATGAAAAAAAAAGAAAGATGCTTTGTTCCATGTTCTGTCAGCAAAATGAACTTGAAATGAGGTCAAAGCTCCCCCTTGTTCACTCTACCAACTTCTGAGAAAGATGTGACTTGTACCATTCTGCAGAAAGGCAGATTAAGGAGAGTAACTGGTATAGATGGTTACTAAATCCTTTCCAGTTTTCTTGCCTTTATTATTGTTTCTCAAAGCACCCTGAAGTTAAATCACATTTGGAAATCCAGAGTTCCAAAAAACCAACCAAACAAACAAACAAAAAAAAAGACAAGTCACTTATTAAATGACTGATTAAGTTCCTTAGAACACTGAATGCTAACGTATTTACTAAATAAATAAAATACAATGCACGCTGTCTCTAGCCAAATGGGACAGCTCCCAGACCCCTCTCATTGTCTCAGGCCCATGACTGGCCATGCCTTCTCTGCTTGGAGCATTCTGTGGTGTTCTCTTCTGGAAGCCGCTTATCTCTCCCCATCCATCTACCATCTCCACCCATAACACAGGACACATTTTTTCAGGTGGAATTTAAGAAACTATATTTCCCTCCAAACTAGTTTCACCAAAGTCACTAATGCAATTCTTGTGGCTAAATCCAGTGAATGCCTTCCCGCTTTTTTTTGTTTGTTTGTTTGAGACGGAGTTTTGCTCTTGTTGCCCAGGCTGGAGTAAAGTGGCGTGATCTTGGCTCACTGCAACCTCCGCATTCTGGATTCAAGTGATTCTCCTTTCTCAGCCTCCCAAGTAGCTGGGATTACACGCGCCTGCCACCACGCCCGGCTAATTTTTTGTATTTTTAGTAGGGACAAGGTTTCATCATGTCAGCCAGGCTGGTCTCGAACTCTTGACCTCAGGTGATCCACCCACCTTGGCCTCCCAAAGTGCTGAGATTACAGGCATGAGCCACTGCACCTGGCTGCCTTTCCACTTTTATCTGATGTGGGCCTCTCAGTAGCACACAGCACTGTTGACCTCGCTGGGATGTTGAGGAATTCCCCTGTCCTGGCTGGCCTCTAACTTCCCTACCCTCTCTCCATGGGGAGCCCTTTTTCCTCTTCCCATGCCTCAAATACTGGTGCTGCCCAGGCTCTGTTGCAGATCGTCTCTCCTCCCAGCTCCCATGCTCTCCCTCAGTGACATTTCACTGTTAGGTTTATACCTTGCTGCCACTTTACTGCAGTCACCAGACAGAAAGGAGACCATTAGTATACTCAGTCTGCCAATTCATGAAAGAAGACCTAGGCTCATTTCAAGAATATTTTTCCATTATATGATACCAACTATGCTAGCTCAACTGAACGCAAGTTTTGCATCGCATGCGTACAGCTTCAGTCATGGTGGGCCGAAGAGGAGGTGAGCGTCTGTCTGTATGGCTCCGTCTTGTTCCCCTTTTATGGGACTCTATTTCTTTGCCTAAGATGGTTACCTTCTTATGGGAGGGAGACTACTTGTAAAATGTTTTCAGTTGACACAAGTGATCTTAAGACTGCCTAGAATCACTCACTGCTAGACAGCAGCTGGAATGTACTTAGAAGCAGTTACTGAATGCTGTTCAGTGCTGAGTTCAGAGGCAGTCCTACAAAGCAGGGACCTGTAAAGAAAGATGCTGCCAATCCAGTTATGAACACAGGGTATCCTGTGGACGACAGAGTGAGCAACAGCCAGGAAATGTTCTGTGAGCCCAGGGAAAGATGAGACAAAAGTCAGTGGAGTTGGTCACAGGGAGATGTTAGAATTATAATAACTTTTATTGAACCCCTACTATGTGTCTGCATTGTATACAAAACTCTCTCTCTAATCTAACCCAGTCCCAGGGGCTGTGGTGAGAACTATATGAAATGCCTTCTGTCAAGTTCTTACTGTTGTGCTGGACACCAGAGAGCATGCAACACATTGCAGCTATCATCCATTCAACGAATACGTGTGCAGTAGTCACCATGTGCTGGGCAATGCACAGTCACTGGACGTACAATACCAAGCAAGAGAAACGTGGTTTCTGTCTGTATGGAGCTTACAGTCTAGAGATGCCCTGTCCAAAATGGTAGCTGCTAACCAGCAGTGGCTATTAAAATTAAAATACAAAATTCAGTTCCTCAGTCATACTAGCCACAATTTTTGTGCTCCACAAATATAAGTGGCTACACTGTGCTTATGGCAGCAAGTTCTTTTGGCCAGCACCAGAAGTGGGCAGAGAGACAGCAGGGAGTTACATACCTGTGTGGTGAAGGCTAAGATAAGAGATTTATAGATGAAAAAGGAGAAGGTTACTCTTATTCTTCTTTCTCATAATCAAAATACAGAAACTGAGGCTCAGAGAGGTTAAGCAATTTGACCAAGATCACATAGTTAAGTGGAAGAGCTGGGATTTGAACCTAGGTCTGACTTACTCCCATGCTGCCCTGGACTGTTTTGTGGAGGAGGTGAGCCAGGCACAGGAAGAAGCTGGTTAAAGAGAGAAGATGGAGAAGGCACCCCTCTGGGACAGTGGGTGGGAAAAGTGACAGCTTGGGCAAAGGCACAGAGACAGTGATGGGTGAGGCTGGCAGTGGACTACAAGTAAACCAGTCTGGCTAGAGAAGCAGTGCCTTGCTGAACTCACCTCCTCAGAAAGCTAAACTAGGACTCACCTACCTTGATGAAAAGCCAAGGCGCTAGAAAACTCAACCCCACCTGCAGAGGCTGAGTCCTTAGAGGATGTTAGCCAGAAGCACGGCATGGCCAGAACCACGTATTATGAAGATGGCAGTATTTAGGAGGACCTAAGCCAAAACTAAAGTTAGGGAGACTGGTTAAAGATTGCAGAGGTTAGAAGGGAAGGAGACAAATGACAGCTGTGGAGTAAAGAACACCAGAGTGAGAGAAGAGACCTATTCCTAAGCTTCAATACTGTGTGACATTGGGCAACAGATTTTACTTCTCTGGACTTCATTTCTTCAACTCTCAAAGGGCAGGGCTGGCCCAGACGACCTCTGAGGTCCCTTTTAGCAACAGTAGCCTAGGATTCTGCAAACGTGAATGGTATTAGGTTGAGAGAAGTGGTAGAAAGTGTAGCATCGATTGTGGGGGCAAGGAAGACGGCAGAGTCCAAGATCACACAGAGGAAGGGGCTGTGATGTGCCACTAACAAAGTGTGAAAGAGCTTGCCTTTTTTGGGGGAAATGGAGGATGGAGAACGGAAAGGATAAGAAGTAGTGAGAAAATTCTCGGGTTGTATTTAAGAAAGTCATACAGTGTTAGAGTATCATTATTTTACACCTTAAAAAGATAGCTTCTCAGCTTTGTTAAACCCACGATCCACAGTCGGAAATAAAATTGACATCATGGTCCAGTACACTTGTCCAGTACCTATAATTGAAACAAAAGGTTTATGAAACAATAGTTTCCCTTACTAATGGCAGCGGATTCTAATATTTTCTATTGGGTTCCATTTCATTCTTTTTTAAAGCCGATTGCCGTCCGCTGCATTTACTTTATGATCTATTAATGTGTCACGACCCACAGTTTTAAAAACATTGCCTAAGAGAAGACTCAACAGGTCTTCCCAAGTTGGAGGGGATGGCAGGGCATCCTATCCAAGCATACGGGAGACACCTGGAGAGGCTCCGAGCTGGGGAGAGTTTGGAGAATGTTTAGCGGAAGCCCTGATCGGAGAGAGCGCTGAGAAAAGCGATGACCCAGACAGTTGTGAGCCCCCATTCAAGTGATGGGGGGCAGGGGGGTGGGCTCGGGACAGTGTAGACTCCAAGAGGCGACGATCGGGGTGGCTTGGAAGCCAGATTCCAGCAGGAACCCGGCGACCACCCGGGGGGCTGCCTTTCCGCGACGTGCACTGCAGGGCTTGCTGCCTCTGACCTCGTGTGGCTTTCCGAAGCTCCTCCACTCACCCGCCCTCCCTGGGAGCACGGCGCGCTCCCACTCCTTCCTTCATTCATTCCACTCCTACCTCCGCGAGCGCCAACCGGCTGCGAGATGGGCGAACCACTTTGCCAGCCCGGGGCTCTCCTTAGGGTCGGTTCCCCTCCGGGCCAGCACGCGCGCACCCTCGCACACACACGCGCGCGCGCACAGACACACGCGCGCACACACACACACACACAAACACACACACACACAAAGTTCTGGGGCCCCTCTGCGGACCGGCTTGGCTGCGCTGGGCTCGGCGCCGTGCGCCTGTCGGGCCCAGGCAGCCCCCCGAGCGGCTCCCCGGGGCCCGCCCCGCGCCCAGTCCCCCCGCGCTGCGGTGCCGCCCCTCCCCGCGCGGTCCCCTCCGGCCGCCGGCGCGGCTCTGCCCTTCGGCTCGGCCTTCCCCGCCTCGCATCCGTGCCATCGGCGCTCGATTGCGCGCGGACTCCCTGTGGCTCTCCCGGCCCCGCGCCCCGCCCCCGCCCGCCGCCCCCCTCCGCCAGCAACTTTTGCGGAGCCCCAGCGCCCAGCCATGCTGAGCTGAGCCCCGCCGGCCCTGGCCGCGCGCTGCCCCCGGCTCCCGCCCCTCCGCGGACCCGCTCGGGGGCCGCGGCCGCTCGGCGCCTCGGCCTCGGCCGCTCCGCCCGCCCGGCCGCCCCGAGCCCCGAGCCCCGAGCCCCCCGCGCCGGGCCCGGGCGGCAGCGGCGGTGGCGGCGGCGGCGGCGCGCCCGGCCCCCTCCCCCGGCGCCGGCCACGGGAGGCGGTGATGCGGGCGCGGGCGGCCTCGGCTGCGCCGAGAGCGGAGACACAGGCTCAAGATGGCAGATTCCGACTGAGGCTGGGGGGGCCGAGCTCGCGCGCCGCTTTCCCGTCCCCGTTGCCATGAACCGCGGACACCCCGGCCCCGATGGCCCCCGTGTACGAAGGTAAGGGGCGCCCGGCCCCGCCGACCCCGCGCCCGCCGCCCCGCCGCGGCCCCCGCAGCTTTGTTCTGCCCGCGGCTCCGCGCCCGCAGCCCCCGGCACCCGCCCCAGCCCCCACTCGGGGCCCGAGGGGGCCGCGACCCCCTCCCGCGCCCGGAAGATGACCGGGACGCGGCGCCGGCGGGGTCCCGTTTCTAGGGCGGGGAGAGGGGCCGGGGGCGCGGGAGGGGAGGGGGCGTGTGCGAGGGTGGGCGGCTGCCCGGGGAGGGCAGGGGCGCCAGGGAAGGCGGACCCGTGACTGTGCTTTTTATTTATTTGCGATAAATGAAGGTGCTGCGGCTCAGCCTCCACCGCCCCCCCACGCTACCTCTCGGAGCACCTCCTTTCCACTTCGCTCTCCGCCCCGCGCCCCTTCCCATTTCTCTCAGCGCCCACCCCACGCTCCTTTATTCTCCGCGAGCCTCCGATTTTGGGGGGGCCGTGGAATCGAAACGCGCGGGGCTAGGTGGGGAGAGAGGAGAGGGATGAAAAGTCCATGTCAGAGCCAGGCAGAACAATGAAACCGGCGAAAATCTCCCCGCATTAGCGTGTGCAAGGGGACGTGGACTTTGGGTTTTCCAGCCGGGGAAGCCGCGGAGACGTTTTTCTGGCTCGGTCTGGGTCGACCTGTGTGTTGCACCTTCACCTGGTGTCGGGGTGTTTTCCCCCATTTGACTGCCTTTAGGAAGAAAGAAAAGAACGCGAGGCGGAGAAGCCGTGGGTCTGCCTCGCACACTCTGTTTCGTTTCTCTTCGGTCCGTTCTGTCAGCTTCCAGCCAGAAAGCAACCCAGAATCAACTAAGTTTTTACACTTCGATGTGTTTTTGTGTGCTTGTAGTAGGGGGAATTTTAAACCCAAGTGTGTCTGATTTTTCAGTCATTTCATCGTGCAAATGTTTGTCTCGTGAAATCATTGAAATCGCAGCCTTCACATACTTTTAGCGTGGGTCTCCCTGCCTTTCTTTCTGTTTTGTTCGGATATTCTGAGGGGTGAAATCGCAAATGAGAGGGTACAGGGTTTGTGTGCCACAGAGGAGGGCACGAGGAGGGAGTGTAATCCGCCTGTAAATCCGGAGAACAGTTGTGGCCAGTGAGACAGGGAAGGCATTAATAGTTTTATCTCTGTTATAAGAAGCTGATAAAAAAAAAAAAAAAAAAAAACTTATCTGAAAAGAAAATCTGTTATTAGTTCCAAGGCTCCAAATGAATTAGATTTCTGGCCGGAATAAAGTTACCAGTCAGGCCCTGGATAACGAGGCTGTAAATAACCTATGGACTGTAAATATTTTTTTTCAGACTCTCTTAGAAACAAAGGGGCTGTTTAGAAGGCAACAGAGAGATGTTATTCCAGGGGCTTTCCTCTTTGATTCTGAAGAACACAAGGTCCATTTAACCGTTGGACAAAACAAAACGAAATTTCTGATCACTCCACCACTCAGAATAGAACATGCCGGTGGACATGTGAACATGTGGGAGAACCCATGTCGGCCATTCATTGTTCATCTGCGTCTGCAGGAGGGGGCTACAGTCAATGCTCCCACTGTCTAGAGTGTTAAAATGAAACAATTTTCTCTTTATTAAGTACCTCCTTGAGACTCCCTCTGCTGGACACTCTCGGTGAGTTGAGAGAAGGAACTTGGCATTGAATTCAGAACTATAGTAAACGGCTGGTTTCCCTGTTACTAGGGACCGGGTATGTGAGTTGGGATGTATTTTGTCAACTTTGTGGAAAGCCATCTTGGGAACCGCACTGTTCTTCTCCTGCCCCTTTCATTCTAAATCCATATGGAATGCAGGCCGTGCCCCGGAGGCTGAGACGTGGCCTCTCCCGGTTCCTGCTACATTGTTCCTCCAGTTCCTTAAGCCAGATAAAGAACTGCAGGTGTGTAGGGTGTTATGTTTAAGAACCGTCATGGATCTCAAAGGTCTCATGAACTGTTTTTATTTGCCAGCCTTCCTTCCCTGTCTCAGGTGACCTCCGTGGTGGCCTTTTTCAGCCCTCGGTTTCCCTCCATCTTGTCCCCGTGCCCTCTTCATTATTCCTGCGCTGTGTGCCCTTTTGTTCCAGGTGTGTCTCTGTGCACCTTTATCATTCTTTTTCTAATCTTCCTTCTCACCCCACCTCAACTAGCCCACATCACTCTGCCAAAAGCCCACGTCTGGGTGTTTTTGAAAGAGACTGTTGGACATGCTCAGGACAGGTGACCTCTAGAGTCAAGGATTAGATTGCTGGGACCCACATTCACTCACTGTGATGAGTGTGCCAAGACTCTGATGACCTCCTTTCGCCCACCGTGGTGACATCCGCTGGGTTCAGGGAACCTGATTTTTCCCGTCTCAATCAGAGCACGTGGACTCCCTGTGTGCATGTTAAATGAGCAGAGCTTTTCCTGTCGAATTCTCCAAGAGGAGGGATTCCTGGTGGGTTTTGAGCTCCTAAAAAGTGCACAGGATTCTTCTCAGGAAAAGTGTAATGGCGTGAGGGGGAATTGTTTCAGTGGGGTGCTACTGCATCAGGCCAGAATGCCAGGTGAAGGCCCAGATGCATTAAAGGAGCATTCTAAACTGCCAGAGATTTAGACAGAAATGCTGTTTTTGAAACAAGGTGTATTTGATAATACAAATTAATGGGTGGCAAGGTGTGATCAGTCTTCCAGGGCTTGCTTGAAGGATAGGTTTATAAACAGCACGTTTGTTTTTGGTGATTTGGAACTGAACTTCTTTTAAAAAGGTTTATTTTCTTTAGAAGGTTAAACATTTGCCTTGTGATTGTATTTCCTCCATCAACTTGCTTAGCAAGGCTTTTTCAATATCTAGTGCAAAGGCCAACCACCAAGGTCTATATTGCCATGGGTTCTGAATGAGAGGAGCCTAGATTCCAAGTTATTTATGTTTCCTCTACAAGAGCTATGCTGTGTTGATTACTGTTGGCTTATGTAAAAGAACACTTTACAGGCTTCCAAACACTGTCCTGCTGCAATCCATCATCAGATGGACCTGAAGATGCCTGTCTACCAAGTTGTCTCCCAAGAAATTAAATTCTGAAACATCTTCTGTTAGCAGAGTTTGATGACACATGCCCTGAAATATCCCTTCCTGTGTTTAGGTTTTATATTTTAAAAATGAGTAAGTATAAATATTGCTTTTCTTCTTACCACATTTGCGTAGTGAATAAGATACCTTAATTTTGTCCTTGATTTCAGGCAGCATGCTATGATACTTGAATCAGAGAAACCTGAGTTTGAATCTAGCTGTATGACTTTGGGCGTGTTACTTAACTTCTCTGAGCTGTTACTATTATTATTATTGAGCTTTATTGGATTGTGCAGGAACTCCATTAGAAACTAGTACATGTAAAGTCTCTGGCTGTAGTAGGCCTTTTCTTAGTGTGTGTTAAATCCCTCTGTCTTCTGAGCTGCTTACAGGCATGATGACTCCAGGGAAAGAATAACCCACAAATAGTTTAGAAAACCAATAATAGCAACATTTCAATTATTAATCTCCTGCAATTCCCTTTCCAGCTTGGGCACCAGCAACAATAAACCCCCTATAGCCATAGAAGAAAGAACCTTCTTTTTACCCCCTCTGTGACCTTTCCAGATTCTTTATTCACATTGAGCTTCTGCTGGTTTCAGGTAGAGAATTTGTCTTCTATAGAGGCGCTTTCTGTGCCACTTGAAAATGTGGAAATAAACTACTGGGGCAGAGTTTCAGGGGCTGCAGCTGAAATGGATACTTTTCAAGAGGCAGTGCCTCTTGGAAAGCATCCCCAAGTATGAAAGATAACCTTTGCCCTTAACAAGGCAGCTGGCTGGGCGAGGGAGCACTGGACGTGGTTCATCAAGCGCCTTCTCAGAGGGGAGGCTCCTCATCCACCACAATCCAGGGTCTGCCTCATCATGCATTAAACATCATTTTCCTACAAAAGACAATGTGGTGCTTTCTGTAAGTTACAGCGGCTCAGATTCTTTGTGTTTTATGTTTTATATTTCTTCATCTCTCTCGTTCTCTCCTTTCCTCCCATAGAGACCAGTCTTGGGGAACCACCTTTGAGGTTTGTATGGAGCAGAGTAGGGATGATCAAGAGGGTGTGATATGTGAGCGTTTCTTATTGTTCTCTGAACATGGAATTCTGGTAGTCTTATTGATGACAATTCAAGGACTTTGGGTTGGTATCAATGACGGGCTTCAGAATAATGGCAGCATACTTTATATAACCACCAATGGGATGTGAACTTAAAAGGCCCAAACTCGCAAGAGTTCCATTTCGTATGGCAATTCCCTGTTGGGGGAAAAAGAATAGGAAAAACCTAGAGTATAGAAAGGTCTTTATTTTTGCTCTAAAAGAAACCCAGATGCCTGAGGGTCACGGCAGTCACTGTGATGTAGGCCATATTGACTCTGTGCTGTGCACCGCGCTGCACCCTCTGCCCACGTGACCTCATGTGCTCCCCACTCTTGATAGACAAGGACCCATCTTTAATGCATTCATTCAGCAAACAGTTATGCAGGACCTGCTGTGTGCCAGGTCCTGTGGCAGGTTCTGGGTTTGTAGAAATGACAAAATCTTGGTCCCTGTCCTCAACTCTATGGGTTGGGGGAAGTGAAAGAACGTTTAAGCATAACTCACTAGACTGTGGGTCTGTCTCAAGATGGAATTTTTTCTTCCCTTTTTTTTTTTTTTGTTGCAGTTCATACTTCTGGCATGCCTATGTTTTCTTCAGATAGAAGGGGAAGACTCGGCCAGGTGCGGTGGTTCATGCCTGTAATCCCAGCACTTTGGTAGGCCAAGGCAGGTGGATCAACTGAGGTCAGGAGTTTGAGACCAGCCTGGCCAACATGGTGAAACCCCATCTCTACTAAAAATACAAAAAGAAAAAAAATAGCTGGGCCTGGTGGTGGGTACCTGTAATCCCAGCTACTTGGGAGGCTGAGACAGGAGAATTGCTCGAACCTGGGAAGCG